GAACACTAAGATCATTTCATGGCAAGAAAGTCTGAACCCGTTAAACCTAGGGGCATTTAACCAAAGGAATGGTGCACAAGTTGTTGCCTCTGAACCACGATCAGCCAGGTCCCGATCGACGTTGTCTTCCCCATCGTTGAAAGAACACCAGAAAAAATTGACCGTAACTCCGAGAGGCAACCAGTATCCGTGGCAACTAAAATCAGGCACCAACCGAAGCGTGTGGGTAATCAAATCCCACGTCTTGTGGCACCTGTATGTAAAAAGGACAAAACAGCCGAACAGCAACCCTCAGCATCTGCAGCTCAGGGGTCCATTGTTAAGCCAAGGTCCCCTGGAACAGCAGGCACATACGCTGCGATTGCTGCGAAGTTCACCCGAGATGCCACCCTTTCAGTCTCTTCTGTTACAAACACGGTTACCTTGAATAGAGAGAAAAACAACAAGCAATCATCATTTGGTGGTAAGTCAGGACAAACAATTCCCTAGCCTTACAGCACAACGAAAAAGGGATCTAGCAATAGTGCCCTGCCTGTTGTGTGCTTGAACGTTCCCGAAACATCAGCTATCACATTGCAAGGTAAATTGTCCGACGGTCTAAACCAGTGGGAGTCACCGTGCTTTCTGATGGCAGTAAAAGCCAAACCCACAAACTTAGTACTAATTACTCGTCACCCGAACTGCACACTTTGGCGAGCTCAGACGGATGTGTTACACAGTTGGCAAAAAAGCGGAAAAGATTTCCATCGGAACTTCGGTTAAGGCCTGCAGATGTTTTGCTACCTCAGTTACGAAATCATCTGAAAAAGCAGACGTACTGACAATGATTGCTGCTTTACCTGATACTGACGTAGATCTAAATGCGGGTTGGGATGCGCTTTGGCCAGAGCAAGGTATGGAGGTAGTATCAATATCTCAGCAAAAATACGAATAACGGCTGACCTCACTTCGGTCGGCAGTCCTACACACCCGACTTTTTGGCCCCTTATGGTCTACTGGCGACAGATGAACTAGCCTGCTTGGACACGAATGCTCAGGGCCTCTTCAATAAGCTGGCCGAACTGAAAGATCGCCAACTTTTCCAGGAATGTGATATCATCGGCATCGCGGAGAGGTGGTCACACACTGAAATAACGGACGCTGCAATTTCGCTACCTTACATGTCACTCATTCGGAACGACAGACCGACAAAAGGAGCAGGCGTACTTCTGTATTACCCCAGCGACTTACAGTGTGAGGTCATGGCGGATTCAGATTCGCTGACTCCTGTTTCGCTTTGGTGCCGCCTTCAGTTAGGGGGCAGAGACACTTGCTTTATAGCCTTTTTGTACCGTCCCCCTAACTCTACATCTGGAACAGACTACCAAATTGGGGTCGCTCTACGACGAACTCTAAAAGGAAGATACACTCACATCCTGACCATGGGTGATTTCAAAGTACATTGTTTAGAAACCCTTCCCACGAGCGGAGAACAATCCAAAGCCGATCTGCAGGAGCTTGTAACCAGTCTTCCGCTTTATAATCATGTCACTTCGCCCACTCGGTTCAAAACAGGTAATAGGTTATCTGTGCTTGATCTTGTGCTTACCAACGAAGAACGTATGATTGATACGGTGGTTGTAGAGTGTTCGGTAGGTCGCAGTGATCATGCAGTTATTAGTTTTAACTTCATCTGTTATTCAGAGTATCGAGATGCCGACTATGAGACGGCACGAAGTATCACATGCAACGACCAATTAGCCCAGCTCGTCAGTGCCACAACCTGGCCGTTTCTCGCCGAAGACCCCCCGGATGTCGCCTAGCTCGAGTTCGTAAACATATTCAATCGAATGGTTACGGATGCTTCAGAGACCAAAGTTTGCAAACAGTCTGATACAGTTACTTACGTAAGGAGTAGAACTCGAAAAGTGTTAGCAGTACGCAACGCAGCGTGACGAGAGTATTGATTATCCCCAGTACCAGGAAGCTTGGAGGAATACGTAGCCTAGCGAAAGCACTGCACCCAACTGCTCAGAGAGTACAAAGCCGCGCATCAGCAGAACATGGCAAAAATCTTCAGCGCCAATCACAAATTGCTGTATAACCACATCAATGGGCTACGGAAAGTGTGGCAAGATGTTCCGCCACTCACGACGGCTGATGGCCCGATACGAACGGCTACGGAAGCATCAAAAGCGCTGCGAGTGCGGTGTGAGCCCACCTTCCAGGGAGTATTACCATCAGGTGATCCTCTAGATTTATCGCCCTGCCGTCGGGACTCACTCACATCACCTTTACCACCGAAGCTGTCTTGCAGAAGCTGACCACTACGCAAGCACAAATCCCCGGGTGTCGACAGCATTCGCCCAGAGACACTGGAAGCAACAGCAAGTCAAGTGGCAGAGCCACTGTCTCAGTTGATTCAGCGCTGCCTAGAAAAGAACCAAGTTCCTGCCAAGTGAAAACTTGTAATAACAACACCAAAGTGGAAGCAAAACCAAGACTTCAAATTACCGCCCAGTTGCCCTTCTCCCTACGCTGTCCAAGGTGATGGAATCTATCATATCCGATGCGCTGGTTGGCTATTTGGAAAACTCTAACATTATTATCCCTGAGAAGCACGGCTTCCGTCGAAATCGATCGTGTACAACGAATTTGCTAATAGCATGAAGTAACTGGACCCAGCCCACTGACGCTGGAGAGGATGTTGATGTGATCTACCTGGGTTTCTCGAAAGCATTCGACCGTCTAGATCATCGGATACTCCTTTCCAAGCTGCAGCGTTACGGGATCAGCGACCATCTTCTAAGCTGGATCGCCAACTATTTCATTCAGCGGCAATTGGTGGTCAGAGCTCCTTCACTGACCCCATACAAGTTAAATGTGGTGTGCGTCAAGGCTCGGTGTTAGGTCCCCGATTGTTTTTGGTATTTATCAATGACCTCATACAGGCAATGACCTCTAACTTCCTGATGTTTGTCGATGACGTCAAGATTTGGCGCAAGGTTCAGGGGAATACTGACGAGAAACCGCTTCAGAGTGATCTAGACGCGGTACATCAGTGGTCCATCCAAAATTCACTGCAATTCAATGTGAGTAAATGCAAGGTGCTCACCATACGACATCAGAGCAACCACTGTTACAGGCTAGGAACGCATGCGCTGCAGGGAGGTGCCACCGAATGTGATTTGAGCATACTGGTTCAGGATGATCTTTGTTGTTCCAGACAATCCACGAAAGCCTCCAAAACTGGTAACCAACATGTGGGCCTGTCACGATGGGCGTTCGGAAAAATATTTCGCTTTAATTCCAGTCAGTTGCTTAGTGCGTATGTTCGTCCTCAATTCGAACTGTGGGTAGTGCAGCGCAAGCCACCTATGGTCCCTCTGTAGGCGCAGGCGTCCTGTAGCTGTCCAGGTGGAGGCCACAGTGACAGGCAAATCCGGATACGCATGCCGCCAATCCATGTCAAATATGCAGTTCAAGCCTAGTATGCTTGGGTAAAACGCGAACTTAGTGCATTGGTGCAGCCAACGTCGAGCATCAAAGTACGTTATTGGAACGCAGCATCTTCCAGACGAAGAGAGGCTGGAACGATTGGGGGTATTCAGCGAACGTTACCGCCGCTTACGTGGTGACTTGATTATGGTGCAGTTGATTCTGCACGATCCACCTCATAGGTACCGCTCTTTACTACAGCTCAGCAGTAATACCAACTTCAGAGATCACTCACTGAAACTGGCAGAATTGTGCAGCCGCGTGAATTATCGCAGGAACTTCTTTTCTCTCCGCGTATGTCACCCGTGAAATGCTCTTCCGGAATCGGTCATTTCTGCATCATCACCATCCAGATTTATAAGACGTTTGCATGACGCACTTACTCATCAGCACTCTGTTACCTAGTACTGCATCTCCATCCCAATCCTGGAATGTACTTTGGATTTATTTGCTGTTACATGTTTGTGCTGTGAAACTACACGGATCGCAGGACTACAGCGAAACAAAGGATAATTCCATCTTTTAAACGTAAATAACCCACTGCTTTTTATTTTTCGATAGCCCCTCCAAACCACCCAATGCGCATGTGAAGCATTGCTGTTAACCCGTACAAATTCATTGTTCAATGGGCTATAGATTTTAGCCGAGACTTGGCAGTCTACCTCCAGTGCCATAACATGAAACACTGCAGATCTTCACCTTACAATCCTACGGTCAATGGCATGGTTTGGGGGGGGGGTTAGCCGATCCATCAAGGAAGTCATACGGGCCACTCAGTTATGACGGTCGGGCTGGGAAGATGCTGTTCACACTGCTGTAGTTTCCCCACATAAATTACCACTACACAACAACTGTAAAAGTGCCGACGGAGATTATGTTAGGAGGCCAGTTGCGCACCCCACTAAATGCTGCACATAACCTGTCATCTGTGAGAGATTCCGAAGTTTCAACTCGCACAGCATTTTACAAAAAATTTCTGCACCCCATCGTCTATTCCTATGCAGCCTGAAACACGTTCGCGTTAAAAAATGGGCCACGCCGGAAGGCTTGTCAGCGCCATGCGCATGACTAAGAAGTGCGCAGAGAATTGGCCCATGGACTATCGATCGGAAAACGGCCTAGTCGTTAAAACACACAGACTCCACTCGGCTCATGGACAAAAGACCCTGTTTCACCAAACTAAGTATGAAGACCAGGCGGAGACACCGCTACAGCGAAGACAGCTTCGCCGGTCCACCAGAACATCGAGGCCTGTTGATCAATACCAGCCCGGCCGAAGCCGATATACGAATCACTTTTCACTGGCTGGTAGGAATACGCTATCTTCCCCTGGCTGTGTTAAATGTCAGAGTTACAGACCGGTAAAGACTGTTACAGGTTGTGATTGCCTGTTTGAATACCTATACACATCCTACTTTTAACTGATGCTCTTTTGATACAACACTATGCACAGGTGATATAGAAATCTGAAAGCCTTACCGTTTGGGTGTGGAAAAGCCACTATAGAAGAACTGATAACTCACTTGTTTCTCGAAAGTGCAGCGTAAGGTCGTTTGTTGCCAATGCGCCATCACTCGTAAGCGATTCATCATCTGTTGAAGCCGTATATTCCGTTGATGTAGTGTACTGACTTCTCTGGATAAGCGGAGATTCCGCTCAGCAATTTCATCCTCTGAGAGGGGAACAAACCATCAGTGCTTGCTTTAGTGATCACGGACGAAGAGCTCATGGTTGTTGAGTCAACGATAAAGTTCTATTGGGCTCAATGATCAGGTCAATATACGTTATGACTATGTGTTGTACGGAGTATCCACAGGAACACAATGACTTGTTTCGTACCATCACACATTACGACACACTAGCAGAAATAATTGGAGTAGTTACCTTGAAGTTATTGGCTGAGGGTTTCATTGATACTACCTGGGTAAAGTTTGCTGGTAAGTTCACTGGCCCGGCTTCATCCGCGTGGAAAATCAGGCCCCTTTTTCTGCAAGAGTCACACCAGTCATCCGGAGCCGAATTCGAAAAATCATGGTAGTAAGGGACGCAGTGTGGAGTGCGTACAGAGCTAACTCTAGTTCTGACAACAGAAGCAACTATTTGGTGCACCGTAACCACTTGTCCGTATGGACCAGCAATTCTAGCGAAGTGTTTTGGGCCAATAGCAGGCTAATGTACGACATGTGAACAGCGTTCAGAAGGTTAAGTTTGGTGTTCCACCACTTAGCAAACGGATATACTCAAAGTTCCGAGAATGCAGCAATGTTCTACGGCTACAATGTGCTCCATTATTCCGACGCGCCACCAGCATGTGTCACATACCTGTCAATTCCTTCCAGGCGCCAGCAATTTCCCATGTCACTTTTAGCTCAGCGGCTGTTTTTAGTAAGCTGCTATCGTTGCGCACCCATAATTCCCCTCAAGTTGATAACATTCACCCGAAAGCACTATAGGTAGCAGTTGCTAGGATACCCGAGTAATTATCCCGATTCTTTCAAACATCCCTACCACGTGAAAGCATGAGATAATTGCCCCGATTTTTAAGGGTGCGGTTGTTCAGAATTTGCCAACCATCGCCCGGTGCTCTCAATGGTGATGGAATTGATCGTTGCTGAGGCACCATTGGGATAGTTGGAAAGATCAAACATCATAACGCCATATCTACACGACTCTCGTCATGTACTAGCAACCTATTGATGTGGCGCTTTAGTTGGACTGAAACGGCTGAGAGTGACGCTAGGACCATTGTCATCTAATTAGACTTTTGTAAGGCGTTCGACTGCTTAGAGCACCGCATCCTTCTCCAAAAATTGCAAATCTACGGATTTGGGAATCCCGTCCGTGGATGAATCGGAAATCTCCTTCAGCGGCGGCTGCATGTTCGGGTTAGGGCCTCACTGTCCTATCCTACTGAGGTGGAATGCGGTGTTCCACAAAGATCAGACTTAGGGTCACGCTTATTCTTGGTCTTTAGTAACGACCTCGCGTGTGTTATCTAGTCGAATTTGTTGCAGTTTGTTGTCTAAATCAAGATGTGGTAATCAGGAGGATCAGGAAGTGCTACTACGAGATCTGGGCCGGGAGTTTGAATGGTCCAACACTGATATCCTTCCTCAAAGTAGTACATAAATGTCACAAACAACAACGTATATAGGCTGGGTAATCATATCTTGAAGACTACATTCAGAAGCGCGACATTGGGCTGGTGATGCAAGATGAATTTGGATGTTCGGAGCGATCCGTGAAGGTGTCCAAGACCGGGAACCAAAATGTCTGTCTCCTACGGACGACTTTCAGGCGCTTAGACCTTTCCATTTTCTAGCAAATGCCCATTGTGCATGTAGAGCCATATGTGGTTTACGCGATTCATCTCATGCAACCCTGGCTAAAGCGCTGCCTGACTGCACTGGAAATACCACAGCGAAAGACAGCCAGAAAGATTAAGGACCTATTTCATCTGCCACCCCAACAATGACTGAAAGCCCTAGGAACAGAGGCGATCATCCATTTGATCGAAAATTAATGTGCACTTTATCCTGAGCCGATTGTGTGGCCTTCACGTGCCTATTCTGCCCTCAGTCAGGACGAAAATTATACCATCGCCCCGGGCGAAAAAAGTGTTCGCTACCCCACTGCCTAGGAATGTACCGTGGAAGTTATCGCTGTTTACGTATCAGATTTTGTAAGACCGCAGTCACTTTTGTCGCCACCTGGAACTTCGCGGCAAGACAAAACTGAGGAGCCACCAAATAGAACTGGCCACACAGTGCAGTCGACTAGAATACCGCCGGAGTATTTCCCTCGAAATTTGTCAGTCGTGGAACGCTCTTCCGATCTTCTTCATTCAGCGCCCACGTTATTCATCTTTTAAAAACAAATCAACGGTGTACTACCTTTGCATTAGGTGGCATGAGTCCCGCCCATCGAGTGCTGGCCAGACGCAAACAAACGTGCTCACCAGCACCCACGATATCGGGGTAGACGGATTTACATGTGCGTCAGGTGGATGTTATGACTAGTACGCAGATGCGTGGTTTACCTCGCTGTCAAAGTATTTTGAACATATATATTTCATACAGACCATCACATGGGTCTTGCCATGCCTTAACTTCCTTTACCCTTATTAAATCATTATTTCCATTGCAAGAGGAACAACTGACCTTTGTTTTAGTGCCCCAAACAACGTTTAGCTCAAAAACGGATTCCTTGTATTATAGAAATGGCTCGTTCTAGTTCAAAATTTGTCACCTAGCAGTATATGACCGTTATATGGCAGGTGTTTTACGACAAAATATAAACTGCAACAGTTTCCACCCAGACTGACGGATTACTTAGCAAATAATGGGACCAAACTGGGTACACAGCGCATATGCCAAGCATTGCAAACTATCTTGGTGGTTTCGTTGTTTGTCGCGTCAAGTGTATTTAGCGCACAAGGTCTAGGCCAGGCTAAATGGCGTGGTCTGGTATTGATATGATCCGTCAGCTCAATATGACAACCAACCACATACCTGCGGACGTTCTAGCTCCACTGCGTTCCTTAATGCGAGCCATTTCTGCGGACGCTTCCTCACGCACTTCGGCGATTCGTTGCAGCGTGATTGCATGAAGATTATCTCGGTATTCATCGATCCGGGATTTTTGCTCAAAACTCAGTCCGAACAGTTTTCGCATCGCAACGCTAAACTCGCGCCTCACGCGTGCGCGAACTTTCGCTTCTGTTTTACCATTGAGCTCTTCCAGTTCTGCTATTTTAGCACGCAGCGCAGTCACTTCTGAAAAAGAAGAAAGGAATATCATTTAAAAGTGTCTAGCGCAAACACGCATCGGGCAAAGGCTTATGGGCCAATCCGGAAATAATGCATATTAAAGATGTCTAAACATAAACCTTGGAAGTATATTATGGTTTTTCTCTCCTAAGCTGAAGCATACTGGTTCGATTGTTTAACCATATCATTTGGCGTAGATTTCAGAGTTATGATGCAACTAGAAAGCTGAAAACTAACCGGATTCACTGCTATTTTTCTGCAAAGGTACCCCAGCCGGGATCATCGTTCGAATCGGAACCACAGTAACCCTAGTGGTACGTGCGCTTTTCATCCAGGCTATTAAGAAACTAAAGCAAGTACTCATGTATTACTCTGGAGGCTTGTTGTGCCAAAGGTACTAGGAATACCTTGTACTTTGTCGCAAAGTATATGGTAGTATTATATCCCTTCGGACATGGACCAGACGAAAAGTCCGTTGTTCAATAGTCATCCATGTGGTCAGCGTCAATAGCACGACCACTGCACCCCTACTGTAATGTCTATTATTGCTTTGTCTCGAGGAAACTTCATCTGGGACAATCACCATAAGTCGGGATGGTCACTGGGGCAACTGCTTGATCAGTTGCGACGATTACATATCCCCGACAGCTCCAAGACCACAAACGGCCTCAATCCGAGCTATGGTCGCAAATTGTTTTCAGCCGTGTTTAACCATCACTCATCACGCATGTCTAAGTCGGAGCGGTGATCACAGATTCAATGCGCCGTTCGCCTTCGCTACAAACTAAGTGAACCCGAACAGAGCTGCGACAAGCAGTAAAGGGGTTAATCTTGGGAAACCAACTGAAGCAGTCACTTACGAGGCTGCTGATAATCAATGTATGTGCCGATAACTAACCGCACTGATATACTTATTGTCTATTTCAACAGGGACGCTATGGAGACAAAAACGGAGCTGTGTGTTATTCTGCTACTTGAGTGTGTTTCAAAGCATTTTCAGTGAGGTTGACCTACAGGATTGGTGACCGCTGTGTTGAGCGTACAAAGTCGGGTTACCTGCAACTGTAGTTGTCGTGATACGCTGCGAAGCGTACAGGAATACAAGGTATTAACACAATTGCTAGACTTATGCAGGTGGTCAAAGGTGATGGTCACTGATGGCGAATACAAAGCCGGTTGCTAAATAGTTGGTCTCCCGGTCATCATTAGCGTGAACTTGACATCGGTTACTCAAGTGATCCTTTGTATAAACGTGGGGAAGAAGTGAATTCTGCGCTTCGGTTTGCGCAGGACTACCATTTCTGACTGCATGGCTGAACTTTACGCACCCCTACTTTTCTTACCTTGATCATAGGAAACGATTTTATGGCCCTAATTCTGTCAATAAATTAATTACTTCCCCTGAACCGTAAAACATACCTACATTTATTCCTACTCTGAACCCCTTCATCTTCTATTACGTTTAACCGATGGAGCACTCCAGACGCCCCACTGGGAGCACTGTAAAACTCAAGTGACATCCTCCATTATCTGCTTATGTTGTGGAAAATGATCAAACCACGCAATCGGTCTGTGTCCTGCAATTTAGAGAAATATGCCATTTTTTATTACGTTACATAGGAGATAATTGTTGACGTCCGAATATGGTTTCCCCTGTTCTTCGAAGCGACTGCATGCGCCTCAGACAAGCAGTCGCACAGGTTCCCGTGCTTCGTTACACCAGCGTATTCCTTGAGCTTAGCCCATACCAAAGCTTTAGCGAAGTACGGGCAAGGCGGTACTTCAGCAAAGCAAATATTTCCATTTTATTAACAAGAATCGAGATCAAAAATGAGTTATTTTCCAGTAAACTCTCATCAGTCTTACATGTTTACAAAGCACTGTATATATGTGATCCGTGTCAAATTGAACTGTGGGTTGACTTTCAAGTTACTTATGGGCAAGAGGATTTTTAATGTGATGTTACTGCCTCATCCCAGCTGTTCACAAACCAGATAGTCTAACCGCAGTCCGGAAAATCACCAGACGATTGTTTCACCCTGTCGGGGCTGGTCAGTAGTGCACATTCCTTCGGTCCACTGCCTGAGATCGAACCCATGACCGCTAGCTTACGCCAACTAACTGGCAGTTTATGCCACTGAGCCATGAGGGAAGAGGCAGACTGTTTGAACTTGCAAGCTAACTGAGATATAGCGCAACCTATACTTCACTGTCATGCAGGTCCTTATCATTGCAGAGGACAGTGGCTGACCTCCGAGGTTACGAGTTCCACTACTGAGTAGCTATGTCCGCTTGGCATTTGATGACTGTGCGAGCGCTATTTTATTACATATGAGTAGGATTCGATCCCCCGCAAGGGACTGAGGGAATGCGCACCACTGACGAGCCCCGGTAATGCGAACCGATTGTCTGGTGCTTTTCTGGCCTGGCGTCAGACTATCTGGCTTGTGAACAGCACGAGAGAAGTATTAAGACCTCTAAGTTGTTTGAAAGAACAAATCGATAACTTGAGACTGTGCTGAAGATATAAAGCCAAGTGAACCAAAGGAACATTAATACATAAACCTTAGTAGTCCGAAGTAAATGGCTAGAGTGGTAACCAGGTAGCTAAGTAACAGTGTCTACTAACCACGGTAGTAGTACCAGTCGTATGAATCGTTTGTTACACACAGTTCCGGCTTTCGATGATGAATGCAAGTAGCCTTGGCAACAGACACGAGTCGCTTGCGGAAGCCTTCCTGGAGATCAGTATTGCCCGTAGTTCACTAAAACTATTTGTTTAACTACATCTTCAGTTTAGTCTGATTCAATCTCTAAAGAGTTTGCTTATTTTGCCAATTCCCTGGGCAGTGAGTGGTTATCACGACCAACGGTCACGCGGCGCGCTATAGCAGTCTGGATATTCTCACAGGATTGTCTGCGTATGTTGCCTAAAAACTACCTAATATTACCATTACATTGCACACTAAAAGGTTGTATAAAGATTGCTGAAATGTATGCCGACCCAACATACACCCAATACCTACGCATGGCGCCACTGTTGGATTCAACATATCTCAATCGCGCGGTCCTTCACATCCTTCCCTAGCTAGCTTTACGCCGTCCGGTGTTGCGTTTTTAGCCAATACACGTGATCAGTGTACACCACAATACACCTCCATTTCGTCACTTCCGTGCCTTCCGTTCACTTATCGGGAACGGTAATCGCCGGAAGTCTGTCGAATACTTCGTCGGTTAGCGTGAGCCGGCCACTCTCGCTACATTGGTGACCCCGATCTGGATCAATTAGGTCACTACAGCGCAAAAGTCCTAGTTGAGCGCACAGTATGCAGAGCTATAACAAGAGCTTAGCGTCGAAGTTAACTCACGTTCATCGAACACCTGAATAGATCATAACCTTGTACATGATCTAGTTCATAGTAAGCAGAAGGTGTTGATGTTGCTAACTCCTATCTAAGGCTTTGCGTTACATAGACCACTATACTCAACGAATACAAGTCAAAGTGTCGATATGAACTCATCCGTCTATGCAGCTGTGAATTTTGCTTGTAGAGTAATGCATGTGATAAAGAGAGTACTGAAGGACTCACCCAAAAGTAGGTTATGCACTTGCTCAGACATTTGAAACTGTACCGTTACACTTGTTTCTAAGTCCTTCTGACGCAACATTTCCTTCAGCCCTTCAATCTCTCGCTCCTTTGCGTATAATAGACCGTGTTGATTTTTCAGCAGATTTTCATAATACATTGAATAGCTGGATAACACAAAAAGTACGCGGTCAGAAGTAGGCAGTGTCGTAGAGTTTCACACATGTGTTGTTTATTTCATTGGAAGTCGTCAACCCGTAGTGAAGCACACACTAGAGGGCAGTTTGCACCAACAATACCTTACTTTCCGAAGTAGTGGAAACAGATTTTGTTCACACGTGTCAACCACAGTGGTAGGTAAGGAGACATCCAGATCAAAGAATGCGCGGACATACTTTCATTGCCCATATTTGTCTAATCAGTGAGTACCTTAAAAGCCTTATTAGACAAAGTGGCTCCATAGGTGAGCACAATGTTCGCAAACTTAGATGCACACCGTTACTGGCGATAATGTTAGGAGCATAATCGCGAATATCAGTAAAAATTACGCAACCTAGTGCGTCAACTGATGCGTTGAATAACCGTAGTGGTTGACGCAGCATCTTGATATTTGGTTATGATGCGTCGCTCTAAAGCACATCTTCAGTGTGTCAAAACTACCAGTTGCGGGTGAGGTCCTTGGAACGAATGTTACTGAATTTTCAACCATGTTCACGGACAGCGGTGGACGTGAATGAGATTGTGGTTTGGATTATCGTAGGCACACAAATGCTGCAAACCCAGCTGCGGTAAACATAGCACCGAGTTGACATGCAGCTCCGGCTGGAAATCTTTTTCGGTGTGACCAAGAACGGCAGTCCATGATGAGTTGGTTATAAACTATTTTCCCTACTGACGATTGTGTACTGTTTCTTTGTTGTCCCATTCACTTGTGGTGACGCTTTAACTTTCACATTCTTGGTCAAACGTTATATACGAATACTTTCAGCTGTCGGACACTTTCCTGCTGATTGCCCAGTTGGAGTCCGGTCAAACCTTTCTTTGAACTATGATCCAGGACACAACTATGAGATTCGACTGGCTCATGGAGCATTCGTCGCGACCCTTCGAGATCTCACCACATCTAACGTACTGGCTGTAGTCTGAGTCGTTCTCAATTTTAGGTTTTAGCACATTGGTAACATAAGAGTACAAGAACTAAATTCATATCGTGTAACCCTGGGTAATCCCAGTGTGACGGCTATTTCATACTTAGGGTGTGATGGTCGCACCTGCTACATAAACGAAATATGCTGCCACTGGGCTATCATATGTTCTTTCAAAGGCCACTGTTGGTAGTTCACTTAAAGCTTTAATTCAAATTCTGCGGCTTCCCACGGGATTTATTAACACTTCCTTAAATAAACTGGTACCAGCTAATTGTTGTCAAGTTTTACCCATCTTTAGAAGGCGCTTCGAGATACTGCTAGAGGTTAATGTTACGTGGAATGCAATAATAGAGTCAGTAATCTGATCAAATCGAACCTACCAACATGAGCACAGAATAGCATAGAAGGGATCGTCACTTTTATCAGCCTCAAACGCAACCCCTTCCTTTCACCGAATTTGAGTCCTTTTCTCGAGAAGGTTCAGAGACGTGGATCAATGTCCATGTTGGTGCTGCTGGACTTATTTTATTCCTTTCGACTTTAACGGATGAACTTGTTCTCTCCAGACTACAGTCGTTGCTGTGGGGATCTGATTTACACTAGACGCATTCTAAGGGGAAAATTGGGAAAGACGCTACAACAGTTCTTCCAGTTTAAAGTAGATTGCTCAACACAGGGTCATAGCTGGAAGTTATTTAAACTGAGAAGTTTCCAAATCCGCTCCGATGCCACGTTATCCACACGGGACAATCTCCCGAAAATCGTTGGCAGTGCCCAGATAGAAAAATCTTTCGAACAGCGGTTGGATAACCACACGCTAGGCACGTCTGGATTCCACTACTTTGTTGTAACTGTAACGATTCCTCAAGGAATACCTTCCAGCAACGACTCGCACGATCCAGCCAACCAACGGAATGCGACGAAGCTGAGATGGATCTTTCCTTCTGCTCTCTACAACTCTACGAATTCTATGAACAGTCATTTGGTCGAATCAAGCCGAATTTTTGTATAGTTCTTGGTCTGTCGTTAACTGTGACCTCTACCTCGATCCTGACACACCATCAATCTACGGCTTTCTACCGAGACATGATGTACGCAATGTTTTCGGCGCCTTTGACAAAGGCAACGCCGCAATCATTAGGATGACTAGGCTGAAGCCGAATCGTGGTTTGCCTACAGACCACGACGTTCCACGTTGGGTGCCGTAGCATACCTTGACTACTTGCGCAACAGCAGCTGCGTTTACCGCTAAATGCACGACTGTCCGCCTTCTCTTTTTTGATTCTCCCAACCCCTTTGGAAGTGTCCATAAGTTAGTCTTGTTTAATAAAATGTCTGCAAATAGTGTTCAATCAGCAGTTCGCAACTTGGTGAGCAACTACTTCCTGAATCGTCCTCATTGCACCTAGTTGCACCTAGGTAGAAAATTCCGTCTGTGTGATTCCTGGGGCCTTTTACAAGGAGCAAGCCTATCTCCCTTATGTTTTCTTTATACATCCTAATGCTCCCTATTCTACCCAACTTTATTTGATGTAAGTACGCTGACGACATAGTTCTAGGCAGTACTGCTCCACCGCTGAGTCACCAACAGCTCCCCAAATCGGGTTGGACGAGCTTCAGCAGTGCTTGTCGTTCCGACCACATATTCTCAAGGTTTCCAAATGCCGCCATGTAACTTCCTCTCTCATTCGCACTGAAAACATCTAACATAAGCAAACGTGAACAACAGCATCATACTCAGTTCATCTACTGTTAGGTACCTTGGTGTGTTGTTCTCATAATCCATTTTGGTCAACACACATTGACCAAATGTTCCGCGAGGTGAAAGGTTTATCAGTTGATGCCCTTAGACTCAAAATGCTTACAGGGCACTGCTCTTTAACTTATAATCTTCCGCTTCATCTTCTGATATCCTACTTTGGAATTATAAAGGGAAATTCATGTTTCAAAATTTTGACTGCCTATATTCTTCACTGGCTGTAGTGCGCACTTAACAATATTTCTTTCCCTTTAAAATATAATTCACATCGATTGTGCGCTCCACTAAGCTCATCTCTAGGTGTAGTGGATTGTTCGGAGTCTCTGCCGTTAGTAAGCCTTTTCTGCCTACTTGTTAATTAAATCTTTTAGTACATGTTCAGTAGATGATGATACAACTAAAAGTTCTCTCTAGTTTATCTACGAGCTCAAAATTTTGGATTTTATGTTTGATTACAACATTTAGCCATAACTCTATCTTACAGTATTTATCACGTTTTTTGGGGAACACAATAAAGTTATCCATACAACGTGGAAACGTTTAGGTGAGTAACGTACGCACTTATTTTATCTTTCATCTACTGATTATGATCTTAGATCAATGTTATACCTCATTACATCCGCAGTGCTAGTGTAAAATGCTGAAATTTCTTCCAGCCTGGTATGAAAGCCTATGTTGTCTTAACCCACGCTGCGTCTCGTAACATCTTGCGTTTTCTGGTTCCGCTCCAGATGAGTGATGGTGCTCTTACAGAACGAAAACACCTGATTTCCGACGCGGATGTGATTAGATCACCAAACTTGCCAGTAAGCTCCCTCCAGGTGTTATCAATGGTTGTGTCATTAAAAATTTCCAGAGGGGTGCTCCAACTAGTGCTGTTAGTATTCCGTAGTGTTTGTCTGTACGAAACAAGTGCTCATATGTGCACTCCGCATAACACACAGTCTTAAAGTACGGTGATGTCATCACGCAAACGTATAGTACTTTTATCGTCGGCTTATTAACCATGAGCTCTTTGTTCGTGAACACTAAATCAAGTACAGATGGTTTATTTCCCTGTCTGAATCTGGTGGACGAACTGAAATGGCTGAAGAGCGGAATGCTTGCAATAAACTCTTGTAGATCGGCCTTGAGCGAGTGCCGGAACTTCCAAGTTGTGAACACTGAAGTCGACTGAGAGTATAACATGGCTACATCGTGGTCCCAGGACTATTCCTGAGGCTGATGTCAGGCTGGAGTGAGTCTCTAGGTGGACATTAACGGATTGTTAGCAACTGCCACAAGGCAGGCGTCGTGGTATCTCAGTCGCAGAAAGCACCAGAGTGAATCTGTGATCAATGTTTCCGGATCATCCATCGGTTCGCAGTGCAGCCCCTTTTGATGGCACAGAAGTAATCCACCTTCCTTACTGGGTCGATCATTTCGAACAGAGGATATATCGCGTGTGGCGACTTAGGTACCGGTAATCTGGGAGTGCAGCCACCTTTCAGGTAGAATGATGTGGTCATAAGCGTGTGGTGCCTGACGTAGTCTATGTTTAGCAACCTTGGTGGTGGGACATTGTGGGTTGGTATACATGCAGAAAATTTCCTCTGGTATCTATAGCGAGTCGGCGGACGTGTAGTTTTGGGTGTTTTGTTGCGCCGACCACTTTTTGGATGGGGCAATGACGAATGAACCTGTATCAGATCCAGCTATATCAAAATTTGCCATTGATCATCTCTGCATGTTACGTATAGAATGTGACCACCTGCTTCGTTGGCTATCTGCGTGATGTTATCCGAACCACTACTGTGAAATGATTCCACTGAAGTTCTGACGTCGTGTGTTCGCTTGGAGGACACCGGTTTGAGTCAGAACACAGACTTCGGTCTACTCCATTGCACATGTCAGCACTCAATTACCCTTGTTAATATCTATCTGATTCGAGGCCCCCGCTTCATAATTCTCGATCCACATCCTTTGTAGCTTGGCGATCCACATAGCCTTGATATCGAGTGCACTACGATGTTTTCCAAGTACAGGGTCACACGTATGTTGCGCACTGCTTCTGGTTGTGGATTGTTCCTCGCTCATCATGTTGTCCGGCCTCGGGGACACCGTGGTCCTGGCTAAGGATTCCTACCGCTCGCTTCACGGAGTATCCGGGATGATACGGACCGAACAGGACTCATTCTGGGGACGGGTTGTAGATAACTAGACTGCTTCTACTTCATTGGCAGTAGCTATCACAATCCAGAGAATTCTCGGTTCACACTAGTGCTTTGAGCTTGGGCGATAGGTGATCTATGTCCTGTTAGCAGACTTGGCGACAACACCTGGGATGGCACATATGCAGTACCACCGGCTCACGTCACCGAGTTGCGTTCCTTTTACATCGTTTGATGTCGATTCTGAAACGTTGGTGCAGATCACTTACGCTATATCTTATGGCCTTTAATGACCATTCGTGCAACATGGTCTCTGAACGACTGTCCCGATGGTCTATATGCAATCGGTGGAGATTGTGTGCGTACAGATTCGCCTCAGTTGTATACTTTGTATCTAGTTGGAGTAACAAAGGAGCTAAACACCGGGCTTTATTGGCGATAACCATTTTACAACCATCACTAATGTCAACATCCTTCTGACATTTCGAAACAGTTACGGGGGTGGAAGAGGACCTAAAAGTAACAATTCCAAACGGAATGGAGGTGTATCTGGGCCACTTGTGTTATCGACATACCCACTGAGGTCCAAAGCTAGATGTACCGCTTTTATGGACTGTTCAGCCTTCTTCAGCAAGTCTGAAGCGGAGCCTATTGGAGAGACTGAGTCCTCTCTCTAATGTGCTTACTTCCAGTGAAACGATTCTGGTGTTCACAATTGACTCATCCGGTAATCTCATCCTTTCGCATTTCTGTGAAATATGTCCAACTTCACTACATCTAGTTCAAGTTAGACAGTAGTCATACGTCCAAAAAGCACTGCACAACCGTTTCATCCTTACAGGAATCATCAGAAGGATGCATTCCACCTTACCCCGGTAGGGCTAGAACCCGCTACTTGACTGACATCGGTCCGTGTTTAAATCCACACAAAGAAGGTATTGGAGCCACGTGGCTGTCAACGGTCTTCGTTTATCGCCCCGCTGCCTTGCGGATCAGGTTTTTATAACCAGTCTCAGGGAGGGATCGCTTAAGTCAACCCCCTTCCTCGACCTGGGCAACCCGGCAGCTCAGTGCCCACACGACGCATGGATCTTCGCATCCTTTCTTCTGACTCCTCCTTCTTTTTGTTGCTGTTCCTCATGTGTTGTGGCACTCGGCCACCGAGGAACCGGGGACGGTAAGGAGCGATGTGACTGTTACTAGACGTCATATAGTGTCACGATGTGCAGAAATGTGCGTATGACGGCTGTTTAGCTGAAACGAAAAGTGACGAACTTCAACCTATACTATTTAACTTCCCCTATTAATCCCCTATAATTTATGATGTACTTTAGATACAACTTCAGCCAGTAGGATGGATAAATATAATGCACAAAACTAGAAAGATTTTGTTATTTTAATGTACCGCTTCATCTCGTTTCCTGATAGGTGAATACACGTAGGACGGAAACGGCCGAGACAACTGGAACATGTCATGCCTGTCTTCATATTTTCTGCATGAAAGTAATCCGCGTACTTCCTTCTTTTCGACGACAGTTGGTGTGCCTTCTGCTCGATCGATGCAACCGCCCCGCCAGCTTGAGCTATCTCGTTAGCGCTTCCCGGGTCAATGACGTAGGGCATGACCTGCTCAAGTTTTTGAGCGTAACTGTCTAGTTTTCTATCTTCACACCGAATTGGACGGCTCTGAAATCGGCGCGTCTGTTACACGAGGCGATGTGTCACAGGGCTAGTAAACTGCATCGGCTTCAAACCCAGCCTAGGGTATGAACAAGGCGGCCGATCAAGAAAGGGTACAAAATGTTCCATGGCCTCTTTACTTGACGATCGACGGGTGCGGTTGTTGTCTCACGGTGTAGGTTTCAGCTTTGGTTTGCCGTTGAAAACAAATATTCTTGCAAGGCGTAAAATTTAGAAAACCACGCGCACGTGCTTTTTTTGCGTGACGGATGCAAAAAAGGCGATGTGGTGGTAGAAGCTGATCTTCACAGGTAAGATCCAGATAACGGTGTGAGCTAAATAATGCTCGTCGTGCTGGCCATACTCACTGTGTGCACACGTGTCTGCGCCTGTGCGGAGGAGTTAATCTGGGCAAAGTAAGACAGTAGAAAGTGTGCGATCGCATCACAGATATACATTTAAACCGATAAATTCGTTTGCTCGCGTAAACGTACTCAGGGATTTCGTATTACGCTCTGCAGGTAAACTGCAAATATGTGGCGAGGTCTCAAATGATGTTTATGTTCTATCGAAGGTTGAACAAGGTCGCAACTCATTCGTAGTCCCGTTTATTATATACAGCACTGCATGTATAGCGCAGCCTGCCTCAGGCACAGCATAAATAGCAAGTTACGGTACAACTGGACCATGGGGTCATTTCGCCCGAGGCGTGATGTAACGACCCGGATGTTATTCACAAATAACGGCATAGTGGCGGTTAGGAGATGCTCCATGAACATGTATTTTTTGGTACAATCCTTAGTTGCCTGCTTACGTTTCGCTATCGTGTGTTTATTGACACTTGTTCAAACGCATTATTTCTTCCTTTTGATTGGCCGACCTACGTCGTTCGCAATGGAGCTCATCTCAGGGGTCTATTTCCGCTAACACTGTTTCCTCGAACTCGCCTGATTGTTTCTTCCTTTCGCCACGTCTCATTCACCCGTATTATTCTTCGTTTCCAATGGCGTAGATTAGCTCCAACGTGTTCTAGCACCTTTGCTTCACCCATACTTGTACCCTGTATAAGGAAGCAGTGTTCTCATGCATACAATTCGGTCCTGCCTTGTTTTTCTGTTCTTTCTGCAGTCGTTAGGGCGTGGACAGTCGGCATCAACACAACAGTGGCTGCACCAAGTAATGACGGGATATAGCACATAATAAAACCATCCTCCTCGGAGGCTGCTATTTTCGACTCATCATCAACACGGATAAGATTGTATGACTTTCCTTGTTGTGCGTACATTTGCATTGTTGAAAAGTTATTCAGAGCAATTGGGCCTGACTAATAGTCAAGTCATTATAAGCTTTATGTACCCAAAAGGGTGCATTTTCAGCATTTTACATTATTGACTGTAAATTCACAAGAGGGTTCCCAGTTAAAATGCAAAGTTTACGAATGGATATAAAAATGAGGATGCACTGTCATTGATCAATCAAGCAACGATCCCAAAAAGTTGGACTAAATCTTCCGGATTTGTATCCATTGAAAACGGAAAAGGTTTCGTAAAAATGTTTCTTCAGAATTCGTTTCAACTGACGTAGAATTTTGTGTCTAGCAACAGCATATCAAGGATCGGACGCGATATATTGCGTGCATATTCAAGGTTGGGTAGAGTAAAGGGTCGCAGTGATCTTGGAAGTTGATTTCACAAAATACGAGGGTCATTCAATAAATGAGGTGAATTTTTCTGTCTAAGGACTTCTAATACAGATAGAAGCTTACTTTTTTATTTTTGTTGTTTTACTTCTTTTTCCCATGGATGTAATTTCTTTTGCAGATTGAAAAAAACTTTGAGAGTTCTGACGATTAACAAAGATGGCCGACAGCGGTCAGTTATCAAGTTTTTGTTTGCTGGAGAGTGCAAACCAGTTGAAATTCATAGGAGAATGTCAACTGTGTATGGTGCCACATGTTTCAGTCGAAAAAGTGGGCGAAATTGTTTAAAGAAGGACGGAGCAGTGTTGAGGATGAAGACAGGCCTGGGAGGCCTACAGAAGTGAGGTCTCCTGAGGTGATCGAATCAGTCAATGACCTCATTCATCGAACAGAAGGGTGACAGTGGATGACATTGCAAGGACTTTGAGCTTATCTGTTGGGACAGCACACAAAATTGTCCGCGATGACCTTTGCTACTCGAAGGTCAGCTGCCGGTGGGTGCCGAAGATGCTTACTGCAAAGCACAAACAGAGGAGGGTCGAGTTGTGTCAGCAGTGTCTCTGCCGCTATGACAATGATGGTGATGAGTTTCTGAAGGAGGTGGTCACATGTGACCAGACATGGGTTTGCCAATATGAGCCTGAGTCCAAACGGCAGTCCATGGAGTGGAAGCACGTAGGCTCTCCAGTGAAGAAGAAGTTCAAGTCCCAGCGGTCCACGAGGAAAGTGATGCTCACCGCTTTTGGGGATATTCAGCGCCCAAGCATCATTTCCTACCTTGCGAAAGGAAACACTGTGAACAGTGACAACTACTGTGAACTGCTGAGGCAGGTCAAGAAAGACATAAAGAACAAACGCAGGGGGCATCAGTCAGAGGAAGTCATCTTGCATCATAACAACGCAAGGCCTCACATAGCAGCCCGAACGGTGCAGACCATCAACGAGCTGGGCTGGGAGCTGCTCCCTCATCCCCTTTACAGCCCAGACCTTGCCCCTTCAGACTTTCACCTGTTTGGTCCCTTGAAAGCGTTCACGAGAGGCATGAAGTTTGAAAGTGACGATGAAGTCAAAAGTGTTGTGAGCGACTGGCTGAGACATCAGTCCAAAGATTTTTACGCTGAGGGAATACGGAAGCTTGTGCACAGATGGGAAAAGTGTGCGACAGTGCTGGGAGACTACGTTGAAAAATAAAAAAGTAAGCTTCTATCTGTATTAGAAGTCCTTATACCGAAAAGTTCACCTTACTTATTGAATGACCCTCGTACCTGTCGGTGTAATGTTGCAATACTGTGATATATACAGTAGAGAATGTAAAAATGATGGTCGGCGAAAAAGACAACAGCCGGTTTAAAGGCTTCGGGCATTTATTTATACGTTTTTCTTACTATTTAGCTTGGTTACTGAGTTGCTAGTACTCTGAGCAAAGTACTTATGCTGCGTCTTATACATCATGGTTCACGTGATGCAGGAAGCGATGCAAATCAACCCATTTAATACCTTCTAAACGTGTCACGATTAGTGTCATCTCGGCCACTAGCATGATGAGAATGTGTATATTGCGAGCGCCGCAATGGTACTCAATGTTTTGTGGAAAATTTCTGAAAATAGAAGAGAGCAAAAAGAAAAGCCGTCAAACTTAGCGACCTCAAAATGGCACACCTTTCGTAGGATTCCCGTTGCATTCGCATCACCGAGATTGCAAATGTCTGGATCACTTCGTTCAGAGCATCTTTGGTTATGCAGTATGTATCATTTTTTTCGTCATGTTGTAGGTTGTTGCTGAGTTGGACAACCAGTTCGTCCGCGAGCGCAGGCCGTTTTATCGACAGTGTCTCTTTCATAGCCTGTAACGAAACAGAAAGATCCACAGCATACCAAAAACTTTTACACCAGCCGGCCGGGGAGCAAGATGCGTATTCGGCGCCAAAACGTCAAACTTCTAAATGTTTCTTGTGCAAATGACGTGCGCTTATAAGATGTTTATCTATACGACCATACAATACAACATGATATGGGCACGGCGTGCTCGGCACCAGCAAATCAAACGTGTGCGTCTACCGAGTGGTCTCAAAAAGAAGCGTCTTCCTGCGTTATTCGCCTGTAAACCTTCCGATTTATTCTCACGGAGACCTACGTGCTGTCATTCGATTTGGCTCCGCGAGCTCCTCCTACCAATGTTCATCATTGGGATCTGTCATTCGCGGATCACCAACAAACGGTGCTTTTGCAATTTCGAAGTCAACCGCGCTTGCATTTTATCAGAGAATTTATTTTTCCTCTCGTCGCACAAGAACGCTTGTGGTCTTATTTTAAAGATCTTTTTGACAGTCACCCGAACATTTTACTACCATTCCTTCTAGTCGCTGTAAAAAGCGATAGTTGTCAATTTGGTCAGCCTTTGGTGCAGCCACTGTCGTCATTAGGCAGTATATTCCAGGTCATGCTGCTTTGCCTCAATCCTCCGCTACATCGTTGCCTATCCACTTCCGCCTGGATCGATAGCACGCTCGCCGCCTATCTATACTAAGGAACATGTGATTCATCTGGACTCGACATGTCGGACCCCTCCGACCTCAAACCAGCGCCGATTGCCACGCAACGAAAAGTGAAGCGAAGTCATACACGCTGCGTCGGTAGCTCTGTCCTCTTGCTACCCCAGTTGTAGTGTACATCCAGTTGCTTCATTCCATCTTGTTATCGTGGAATCTCTACACCATAGCACCACCGTCTACGGTCATTCCTAGTTTGCTGCCCCATTACTGACCGTGACCACATTTAGCAGTAGAATTATTCCAATGGTTCAACGTTGGCTATGTTGCGCAGATAATTGCAGTAAAGTCCTTAAGCTCGGAATAACAGTTCATAGCTGCATTAGACCATACTGTCCGCAACGTGTAGGCACGTCCATCCAAGAAGTGAGACAGACAAACAAAGTTGCTGACACAATTTGGTTTTGTCCAACATATCAACTCATTCCAGTTGCCAACTGTTTATCTTTGCTCATGAAAAAGTGCGATAGAATGACTAAGATAATCGCGCATTTTGTAAATACTAAGATGGATACCACGGAGGTAAATATGACCACGCTAATACCTCGAGCAGCCAAAGTAAGCTTTGAGACTAAGCCGAAGAAAAGAGCTAGACGCTCCAACCGCACTGCAGCGTCTGTGTCTCTAAATCCACTGGGTCACCTCACTGCCATAAGCGGACAAGCGTCAAACATGTCTGCTTTGACTTCTCCAACCACAGACGCTTCAGCTGGAGATTCAGACATGACACCGACAGCTCAGAGCCAAAGGCAATCCGGTGCAGATAACAAGCAGGTTACGTACGCAACGATTGCCTCGAAAAACACACTGGGAGCGACACACGTAGGTCCATGTCTGTACCGAGCACACGTGGAGCAACGCAGCTTTCACCGTCAACTCTAGTGGTGCCTTCTAAACATCCCAAATCGCCGGCAAAAACTATAAAACGACACCCGCTAGACAAAACCATACTGCGTTAACTCTCGTGTGCACCATTGTTCCCGAGTCCGAATTTGGCACAATAAAAGATAAGTTGCAAAACAATCGCAACCAGTGGTGTGTCATCTGCGACGCGATCGGTATTCGGGTTGAGCCTGCTATGCTGCAACGCGTAGCTCGTCACCCGGCCTCAGTGCACTCTGGTGAACCCCGAATGCTTCGAGTAATACTTGACTAAACAGATGTGACAGAGGCTGTCCTGCTCTCAACAGTTCGTCGTCGCAACTCACCGAGCGGAGTGCGCATATTACCCGATCTACATTGAAAAGATCGCCCAAAAGAAGCAATTGACCAACGCGACATTTCTAACAGAGATAACAAGAAAACAATACTTGTTCAGGGTGTTCCCGAGCTTCTGCATGCTTCTGATCACGATGCGCAAACACATGACCGAGAGCAGTGTTGCTACATCCGCGAAGCACTCTCTGTTGATAATGTTATTGCCAAATCCTTGACAAGAGTTCCGTCATCACCTAACTACAAGGGCTGCGGTCCAAGGCTAATGTAACTAATACTACACTCCGAGGGAATGATGCAAGTTCTGTTGGATAGCTGGTTAAAGTTTCAAGCTAGGTTGCCAACAGAGATCCGGCTAAAGGCAGCAGGCGAACGGACAAAAGTCGGAAGCAATTTGATAGAACTTGCAAACGCTGCAAATTCTTTATCTGCACAGACCTGCAGAGTGACCGACACAACAGCACCAACGACAAGCAACAGTACAGAACACAGCACGAGTGAAACGTCTGTTCAGGAACGCTCAATAATGCCATGCAACTTGACTGAAATTCATAAACCAAAAAACGATTAATGGCCGGTCACCTAACGGCCGGCCTAAAAACAAACACCGAGTTGGCATTCATCAACGCGCTACTAACAACAAAAAGACTATACTGTTTGTACATAAACACTCAGGGCCTTGTAATTAAGTTGACTGAACGTAGAGAAATCCATGCCTCACTACCGCGCGACCTCGTCATGATTATAGAGACCTGGTTAAACCTTGAAATAACCGATTCTGAGATCAATATATCCGGTATGTCGCTGCTTCGGAACGATAGAACCGGAAGGGGTAGCCGTGTGATTCTTTATTCTTATACGAACCTCCCATGTGAAGTTATCGACTACCCGGAAATCCGCGCTCCTGATTCGCTTTGGTGCCGTTTGTGATTGTGAAATAAGGACACATGTCCACTAGCCGTGATTTACCGCCCACCAAACTCAATGTCGGAAATGGACTTCAAACTGAACCACGTCTTTCAGTTTGTTTTGAACAAGTCCAACACCCACATTCGTATCGCTGGAGACTTTAACGTGCACAACATAGAAACGCCAGCAACCGACGGTACGCAGTTTAAAGCCTGCTTGCAAGAGCTAATTGCTAGCCACCCTCTGTACAACCACGTAACCTCTCCCAGCAGATTTCGAACTGCTAACAAGCCACCGATACTGGATCTTGTGCTCGCTAACAAGAACTCATGGTTGACGGGATAGTTACAAGCACACTACTGGGTCGTAGTGATCATGTTACTCTACTCTTCGACCATATATGCTATGTGGAGTATCCTGAAAAGGAGGGTGATAAAGTGCATAGTGTCACACACTATAATGTGTTATCTACGCTCGGTAAGGATACAACTTGGACTTTCTTAACCGAATGCCCCCAGATGTAGCCTGGGAAACCTTTACAAAGACGTTTAGCACATTGGTAGCGCACGCATCGGAACAGAAATCCTTCCAACGTAAAAAGAACTATAAATCATTCTTGAGGATCAGAACACGTAAATGTGTGTCCCGGATGGATTTGGCATGGCGAGATCACAAGGACTGCTCGAATGCCGAAACCTGGACTGCATAGGTGACACATCGTAACTTCTGTGTGAAACTGATCCGCGAAGACTAGGTCACTCATCAGCAGGAGTTAATGAAGCGATTCTGCACGAACCGCAAATTTCTGTACAGGCACCAAAACAACCTTCGACAGGTGAAGTGGGGGATTCCAGCACTAGTCACGGCTGATGGATTCATGCGATTAGCAATGAAATCAGCTGATCTGCGGCTTCATTACTCCAAAACTTTCTAGCAGGTAACCAGCCCAAATATTCTCCTCGTTTCAATTAGTCCACCGTCGGGTTTAGACAACATCACCTTCAATGCGGAAGCTGTGTTGAAAAGTTGTTATCCTTGCGTATCCACAGTTCTCCCGAGTCGAAAACATCCGACCGAAGGCTCTGCAGGCGGTAGCTAGCAGAACCACTGGCTGTTTTCTATCCGCGATGTCTAGAAGTGAACTATATTCCGCCATCATGAAAGCGACGGTTCATTACTCCTATCTATAAAGGAGGTAGGCACACTGATCCTATTAACTACCGTCCAATGACGCTACTTCTTGTGCTATCCAAACTGATGGAATCACTCATCGCAGATTCCCTGATGTAGTATCTGGAAAGCCACAACTTAATAGCCCCAGAGCAACATGGCTTTCGTCAAAAGCATATGTGTAATACTAACCTACTAATTTCACGTAATAGCTGGACTGAAGCTGTTGATGATGGAGTAGGAGTCGATGTCATCTACCTGGACTTTCAAAAGCGTTGGATCGCTTAGACTATCGAATTCTCCTTCAGAAGGTTCGGGACTAAGGCATTGGTGATCCAATCCTGAGTTGGATTAGCAATTTTCTACACGAGCGACGGCCAGAGGTGAGAGTCCGAGAATAATTGTCCGATGCAATCGATGTGATGTGTGGTGTACCACACGGCTCGGTAGTTGTGCCTCGTCTATTCTTGGTGTTCATTAACGATTTGGCGAGATCAATTGCTTACGATTTCCTAGTTTTTGCTGATGATACCAAGATATGGAAAGGATCAGAGGACCGAACGACCACAAACGGCCCCAGTGCGATTTTAACACAATGTCGAACTGATCAGTTCAAAACGCCCTACCATTTAACGTAGACAAATGTCGCGTTGTGCAATCACCCCAGACATAAGTACACATACTTGCTTCGGATAAACGGATTGCAGACCAGCTCCCAGGAGCCTGACCTTGGTGCGCTCGTACAGAGTGACCTCAACTGTTCAAAACAGGCTGAGGTAGCTGCAAAAAGAGACAACCAGCACGTGGGCATGCTACGAAGGGCATTCGGGAGATTTGACCCATCAATCTTCGCAATGATGCACAATTCCTATGTGCTCCCGCATATTGAATACGCTATCCAACCTTGGCAACCTTGGTTGAAGAGCAACCCAGAGACGTTAGAGGCACCACAACAAAGAGTAACAAAGAATGTAAAGGGCCTGCGCTATCACTCTTACCACCGGAGGCTGAAGTTGCTGGGAATTTTCAGCGGACGCTATCGAAGGCTGCGCGGTGATCTCATATTAGCGGATCAGATATTGAGTGACCCCAACCACGTATGCCGCCATTTGCTGAAACTTAGCCACAACACGTAGCTCAGGGGTAACTGCTTAAAATTGAAGGAACGATATAGCCGTCTGGAGTGTTGACGTAATTACTTTTCCTTTCGGGTTTGCCAACCCTGCAACACACTCCCACACTCAGTTGTATCCTCCCCTACCTTGGAGGTTTTCAAAAAACCGTTAGATGTTGCTCTTAGCTCCCAGCACTTTGTTACCTAAGCTCCTCTATTGTGGATTATGCCAAGCATACTTTTCTACAGGATTTATGTATCAAATGGACCCAAGTGAGCGACCATAGTTTACTTTTCTCACGCTTTATAGCGACGACCACTGCACCACAGTGTGTTTCTGAATGTTTACGCGCGATAATTTTTTTCATTTTAGACTGATGTTATTTATCAAAGTATTCATCTCGGCAGACGTATGGTAGATGACACACATAAGTTTTGGTTTCATCTTATTCACCCCAACCATCCCGTGATAAATCATTTTTCATTGTTTATAGTAGAACTTGCTTGAAGGTCCAGATTGGCCAAAATGAGCAATGATAAATTAATGACATCCTAACACTTGATATTAACAAAGGTGTACACATTGTATATTGCCAACAGACTCTCATCATCCGTGAACTCACCGGTCGCTTCCATAAATCCAAAGGGAGATTGCCTTCCTCACGATTTCTTTCCTTGATAACCAGATCTATCTGCCTGACGATGAGTTTCCGAAGATCGGCAATCATGTAAAACTCGAATGCTTCAATCAATTTCAAGAGCTTTGTAATAATGGAAGTAAGAGAGATTCTTTTAATCTCTTGACTATGTTTCATAACCCACTCGGTAAAATAGCAACAGGCTATTATCGTTTATGCGGTTAAATTTTATCGTAAACCAGCCAGTGCGGCTGCGGTAATTCTCGAAATCGAACAGAATTACAGCAAGTAGTTGTTATTTGCCTATTTATCACTACGATCCTAGTGATCGAATTGACCAAAGTTCACTTTAACGTGAACCGCCGGCGTCATGACCCACTCACACAATGAGTGCTTCAAAGTGACCCCTCCAATCAGTCACTAACTGTTGTGATAAGCGTTGCCAGTCATGACTCGGTGGTTAAAGCGATAGGGATTTCAACCAACATCCCACTGACTCTGCCTCCGATGGCTGCTATTACTACTTGATGATCTAAAATAAGTTCGAGGCTCGTCGTAGAGTGCAATGCTTTCGAGTAGGAAACGCAAAATTCATCCTTTATTTAGAAATCTGTCGGTTGTGCGTCCCAAGTATTAAAATACCAAATAGACGCCCTTCAAACCGATGGGTCTGTATCATGTGTCCCAATGTGCTGCGTGTGTATTGACGCCTAGGAATTGGTCAGGTGACGCGGACAAAGGAAGTGTAATGGTTAGGTCCAACGTTCATCTGGTCACAAGCATGCTACTAACGCCTGAGCTCGCCCACTTTGTTAATTGGCTGTAGAGGGGTATGTAGATTGGTGACACTATCACATGCGTCCCAAAACTCACGCACACTTTTCCCCTAACGTTTTAGGGATCACAATACGATCTGGCATCATTGGACAACCGTTCACAATTTTGTTAGGACGTTTTAACGCACAAAATATGGCGTACTTTCAGCGAGTTATAAAGTCCTTGGCCATCCGTTGCGAAGAGAAGAGCGAACGCGTTGTAAACATCTATCTTATTGTGTAGAATCACGAACGTTGTCCTAAGTAATCGGTAAGTTCCGTATTGATTCCCCAAAGATGGAGTTTATGTTCGCAACAACTTCAACTAATGAAACCACAGTATTTTCATGTGGCCGCAAGTTTGATCTGTTAGCACTACGCCGCAATAAGGCAACATGACCAAAACATTTCCTACGGACATGTTATCTAATGAAAGTGTATTTGAGGAGTATTGTCGCCCAACGTTGCAAGCGATTTGCAGTGTGTACAGGAATCCTTTCTTGGTACCAAATATAGACAGCAAGGGCATGTAGTCAGTACATAACGTGAATTTCTATGTAACGTCTTATGAAAATGTTTAACTGCAAACAAAATAGACAGGCCTTTCTCAATTTGACCGTAATTTCGTTCAGCCATTGGTAGAGTGCGTGAAACATGAATAACAGCTTTTGTCTACCGTCCGGAAACTGGTGCAAACGTGCTACTCCAATCGTATACTCGGAATCACACGCTGCAACAATAATGGGCAGTTTCGGGTCGTGATGTGTCAGCACAAGATCAGAAGCTAAAATGCGTTTTATTTCGTCAAATGCCGACTGCGAAGCTTGCGACCATAGCCATTTTGCATTAGTTTTCAGTCTATTTAGTGGCATCTGTAGCGGGTGCACATTAGGAACAAAGTTATTGTAATAGTTTCCTAGCCCCAAAGATGACTGGAGTGTTCTTTTGTCCTTCGGATCTTGTAGCTGCTGGACTTCAGTAAGTTTTGATGGATAAGGACGGCGACCACTGGTGTCGACGATTGAACGAAATTCGGTACATGAAGAATGCACATTTATCAATTCGTAGTGTAAATCCGAAACTTTTGATCTTGTCAATCACTTCATTCGGGTGTGCCTGATGTGACTCAACTGAAGGGCTTACAATAATTAGCTCATCTATGTAAGTCAACAAAAGCCAATCCATTTAGCCTTGTGACCATTACCTGTTGAGAAATTGCTGAAGCACACTTAATTGATATAGACCCTTATATGTATTAATCGTGAGTAGGTATCTTGCTTTATCGTCAACCTCGATTTGTAAATACACATCAGAAAAATCAATATTTGAAAACATTTCGCCACCATTTAACTGTGCAAACAAGTCATCCGCAATCGGCAGTGGGTATTGGTGAGTTTGAAAGGCACCATTTAGTTCAGTTGAAAAATCACCACAAATACGTACTGTGTCTTCGGCCTTCTTAACTACCACGATTGGAGTATCCCAGGTTAAATAATTAGCCTTTGTTAGCACGCCTAATTGTTCCAAGCGATTCAGTGCTGCATCAACCAAAGGAACCACTGAGTAAGCTATTAGTCTTTTAGGACAGAATACTGGTATTGCGTCGAGTGCGATGTACAAAGTAGCTCGAACTTTGATGCACAGTCCAAGTTCTGGCCTGAAAACATCGGCAACTTTTCCCGCTAACTTGCCAAAATGTCATTTTTCGTTTTTGTAGCAGCAGTTTCGACATCAGTTGTAGACACATTTGGCATTTCACGAATTTGTGAATCACTAATCGAACTGTGGAACATCTCATAATTGTAACCCATCTATCCATTCAATGCTTAATAAATTTAGCTCATTTGCTACTGCAATTTCACTGGTTCGTCTGCGACTAGTGTTTCGATTTACAAACTCGTGGTTTGGTTCTCAAAAAAAAAGAAATTTGCCCGCCAGAAGCGCTCTGAGCAATGAGTTTAGTAAAACACTAATCCGGTTCTCCAGTGCTTTTCCAAGTTGAGTGTGAAATGATTGTAATGTCAGAAACAGTGTCGATTTTTAAGGTAACCGGCAAATGGTTAATTAATAACGGGATAAATTTTCGACCGTGCCTTCTACGTGGACTTTGCGTAGTGAACACCAGATTTGACTGTCCTCTAAATCTCATTGCTTGATGCGATTTCGACAAGCGGAAACAGTGCCCCTCTTTATGACTTTATGTGCCACAATCATGATATTTATAGAATCGAAATTCACAAAAGCGAGCAAAGTGACAGAGGTCACCATTCCAGCATGGTATTGGTAATCTTTGGAACCATCCGCTTTGATTTGGAAATCGGCTCTGTTCCACTTTGGATTGGATGATTTTCTTAACAGAAGTCATGTCTGAAGAATAGTTTCTTGATTGCAACCTTTTCACGAGGACGCTCTGATCCAACCTCCATCGCCAAATTGTGGAACCCATAGCTCCAAAGTCAACACTTACTAACATCACTTTTAGTGCCACATCTGGGTTGAAGAAGCTGCTCTGACTACGCACCTACAGCTCTCCCGGAATCGAGTATATTCACCCGAGGGCGCTGAACGTAGCAGCAAAAACGCTGGCCGGGCCATTATCGTATTTCTTCCGAACGTGGCTGGATGAGCAGACTGTGTCTACCGTGTTGTAACATGGCTTAATCACGCTAATTCTCAAATGTGGAAATCTCTCGGAGCCCGCAAGTTATCGTCCAGTGGTCCTTCTCCTTTTATGCTCAGAGGCCATGGAGGCAATCATCGCTGAGACTTTATTCAAACATCCAGAACGCTACAACATCATAGCACCTGAGCAACAAGGTTTCCGCCACCACAGTTCATGCACTAACACCAACCTACTGATTGCATGCAGCAGTTGGACGGAAGTGTCCAATAAAACTAGGGGGACAGACGTCATTTACCTCAACTTCTCCAAAGCCTTTGACCGACTGGACCACCGCATTCTGCTTCACAGGCTCGAAAACTATGGACTTGGTGATCCTATTCGTGGGTGGATCATGAATTTCCTGCAGGTCAGAGTTCGAAATGCGCTACCTGATCCGATTAATGTCGAATGTGGCGTTCCACAAGGATCACTACCGGGGCCGCGTCTAATTCTCGTGTTCATTAAGGAGCTTACGCACTTGACTGCCTCGGGTATCTTGTTATTCGCTGAGGATGTTAGGATGTGACGGACGATCGCAGACAAAGGAGATAACGATATACTTCAGCGAGACCTGGACAGGGTGTATGAATGGTCACTCCACAATCTGATCCAGTCTAATTCGTCTAAGTGTAAGGTGGTCCAAATTCGTCACTACTCGTGTACGTTCTGTTCCGTTTATCGGAAAGGGTCATACTTAACATTCTGGCGACGAGGTTAAACTACTGCGATGTTGCACCTTCCTACACTACTTTGGAATGTTCCTTCTGAGAAACCAACACCGACCACCTGGAACCGTTGGAAGCGCACCTTTTTGGATTATTTGAAGCTACTGCCCGTCTTGCAACCAAGCACAGTACCATCAGTGAACCACAAAGTTAAATTATTGAGATAATTTCTGCGGGATAATGCCAAAGACATCCTGATGCCCTCCATGTCGGTGAGAAGACAGTCAACAGCACGCTAGAAGTCCTCAGCGGGTTATGGAGTTCAGGACCGAACACATACACTGCGCGGTATTCTTCCTCGACCTTGAATCAAAACCCTGAAGAAAGTGTCATTAATTTCATTGCGCGGAATCAGCAAGCCCTACCAGAGTGTCGGTATAGTGAAATTCCAGTTCGGAAGTTCAAAGAGGAGATGGCTTTAAAGTGCTTGATATCCGGTATCCGCAACGAACAGGCTCCTGAAAGTTTGTTGCTGGAAGATGTGACGAGAATGAGCTGGGAGAACGCCTGCAATATTGTTCGGCAGTTGAACAAGGTCCATAAACAGTTAGCAGCTTTTTCCTCCAACATCATACAGATACAATCCAAGCAGTCAACCGAAAAGATGTTACCCCGACACGGTCCGGATTGCCTTTTACCTGTTACCGATGTGGAAGTCAGCATTTATCAGCTTAGGAATGTCGTCATAAACAGACTATCTGCCGCAAATATAGAAAATTAGGGCACTTGGCCCGAGTTTGCCGATCTAAAGCTCGCAAAGCCGCGACATCCCATTTTCCCAAGGAGCCCGTGAAGGTCGTCCAGTCTTCAGACAAAGAAGACCAGCTAAACACGATCTGGAACGCAACGTCAAGCATCTGTAGTATTCGCCTACCCTACACTGTACAATTGGAAATAGAAGGCCAGTTGGTTAAAATAATAGTTGATACAGGTGCCTCAGTTACCATAATCAGTGTTGCAACAGTTAACAGATTACCCAAGCTATCCCCCTGTGAAACAATCTTGCGTACGTATACTGGATAGCCGATACCAGTCCTGAGAAAATGCACTGTTCATGTCAATTACGATGGGGAGAAGCGAACCTTACAGGCATATGTTGTGGCGAATGATTGTCCGAATTTACTCGGACGCGACTGGATTAAATACCTTCGTGCCACGCTAGAGACAATGAAGTTCATGTCCATTAATAAGGGCTTAGAGGATGTGCTCAACAAATATTCTGACGTTTTGATGAGAAACTAGGCAACTTGCACCGATATCAGGCTAGTATCAAATTACGGCCGGGAACTCAGCCCCGCTTTTTCAGGGCACGTACCCTACCTTATTCCCTGAGATCAGAAGGTGGAAGATGAGATAAAGCGACTGCAACCAGCAGGAACAACCGAGCCAGTCCAATACAGTGAGTGGGGAGCTCCAATAGTTCCAGTCCTGAAGCCGGATGGTTCTGTGCGTATTTGCCGTGACTATAAACTACCTGTTAATCGTTGTTTAATTCTGTATAGGTATCCTTACCTCGTATAGAGGATCTGTATGCTAAACTGGCAGGCCGACAACAGTTTACGCAGATCGACCTCAGTCACGCGTACTTACAAATTGTGTTAGACGTGACCTCTCGTTCATGCACTACGATAAGTACACACATGGGTCTACTCCAGTACAAACGTCTGCCCTTCGGAATCAGTTCGGCCCCAGCGATATTCCAAAGGATTATTGGTAACCTGATCAAAGATATTCCTTTTACTTGCGCCTATCTTGACGATATACTAATTACAGGACGTACAGGTGCTGAAAATTTACAAACACTATCCACTGTGCTCAAACGACTACAACAGAGTGGACTCAAACTGGAGAAGTTTAAGAGTACGGTTTTCTCAGATTCTGTTCGTTATCTTGGTTACCGTCTCGTTAAAAACGGATTACACGTGCTAGAAGACAAAGTAAAGCCCATCCGTGTCGCACCTGAACCCAAGAATGAAGCTGAAGTCCGATCGCTTTTAGGGATGTTTTCTCACTATCGTCGCTTCTTATCTAACGCTTCAACAGTATTTGCACCCTTGTACGAACTGTTGCGCAAGCGGAAGTCCTGGACTTGGGGTCCAGATAAAAGGCCTTCACAGATGCAAAACGGGTGCTCAGCGCCTCTTCGTATCTCGTGCATTTCGATCCGAGCCGGCCTCTAGTGCTGCAGTGTGACGCTTCCCCACGCAAAGTAGGCGCAGTCCTTTGCTACCGGACGGATGACAGTTCTCTTCGTCCAGTCGCTTTTGCTTCTCGTACCCTGCAACCCGCTGAAATGGATTGCTCCAACTAGACAGAGAGGCCTTAGCGATTATTTTCGGAGTAAAGTATTTCCGCCAGTACAGCTGGGGGAGAGAATTCGATATCTACACCGACTATAAACCACTTCTTTCGCTTCTAGGTGAGAAGAAATTCAAGAGATATCTTCGCCTCGAATGCAAAAGTTGGCACTACTCTTGAGCGCCACTAACTACAAACTTCAGTATGTAAACGGACCAAGTAATACCACTGCAGATGCCCTTAGTCGTCTCCCGCAGCATCACGACACAAAAACCAATAGTGAACCAATGGAGCTTATCACTTTGATACAACACCTTGAAAATGACACTCAGCCGAAGTGACGTGGTGCGTCGCCTGACGAACCGGAACCCTGTGTTGTCGATGATGAAACGGTTCTTGATGACCGGATGGCCTACAAGCACGTCAGACGAAGTGAAACCATCCGCTTGTCGGAGTAATGACTTGAGCCTATATGACGACTGTGTATTTCGAGGCTCGCGCATAATTCCACCAGAAGAACTATGGTTCCAGTTACTGAGAGCGCTGCATGACGCACACTCCGTCGTGAACAGGATGAAGGCACTGGCACGTGGTTACTGTTGGTGGCCGAAGATTGACCAGGATATAGAGCGGTATATGCCACCAAGGTGGGTGTCTGTCTTAGCAGTTATGCAAGTGGGGGCATTCACCCTTTTGTCACGTCGAATATTGATAGATCTTCGGTGCTATGCACCATTGGAAGGAGAAAGAAGAGGATGGTCAGCGGCTGACACTGCACCCCACGGCTCAGCTTTGCCAGATATGACTTGGTGATGAACGTTTGTTATAACCAGTGCACTCGCATCAGTCGCCGGACGGAATAAGATAGCAATGTAGACGTGCGTTGCACCCTACCTGTGGTACACTTAGTCACATGTGCTAATATAATGATAAGCAGCTGCGTTGAGCTGCAGCTCCGTCGTTTATTCATCCTCAGCACCTTCGGCGATATCGGTGGCAGAACATGTCCCAGTGATTACGATTACGCCGGCATCCACGGTTACGAAGTAGACCGCCACAATTGCCCTTAACGCTTAAATAGTTGTGCAACTGGCATAACTGGTGTGAACACGAGTGCACTGCTATCAATAGTGGCATGCTTTTTTGAGAATCAGGCACCAGCAGTAGACCGGCACGCAGTAACGACCCTTTGCTGCCGCGCAACCAACAACAGTAGCGCGTGTGTTCAGGATACTGCGAGGATCACCCGGTCCTTTACGCAGGCTTGAACCCGCGCCCCGGATTACAATGCAGGCTTGTGGTTTTTAAGGCGGCAGGTCCTTATGAGAATCAGGTTGAACTGAGTTTGTTATACATCCTGTAGCCAACATATGCGAAAGTCAGAATTCGTGAAAAAGTAAAATGACCTCAGAGTTACCTGACGCTGTCGAACGACCATCTCTGGGATGCCACTTGGCATGACAAGTACGTCAGTCGACTCCAACGGTCCCAAGGCGTACATATCTGGTTGTTTGTATTGTATGGCCAAACTTCGAAGTAATGGATATAACTTTTCTCTCTTGTAGATTGAGCTGAAAGAAAAAGAAGTGAGAACTTGTAGCCAACGATGACAAAGTAGCGAGCCTCGGAACACTGGTTCGCTAGATCCCATCGCGATCAGGTCCAGCCGCTCTTACCTTGGTGGCATCATCATCCCGAATTGTTGCGACCAGGTGTGCGATCTAGACATAGGACGTTATCCAGAGAGTGACAGCGTTCCGTAACAATGGGTGAGCTACAACATCCATTTTTATCTACATATCAAGGAAGCCGGTTCCAATGGCATATGTTTTATACTTTCCAGTTTCATAGACATCCGGAAAAATATCAACTGAGAACTTGGAAAAAATGGCCTGATGTAACAAACATTTGGGCGCAGTGCTCACCTGAAGCGCGATTGGAAGTACAACCATTGTTGTAAATGTAGTTTTTTTGAGTAAACACAAAGAAAAAATATGACAAAACACAAGCTTGAGTCAAATTGCGTCGAGCAGCTGCCGTTAATGATGGATGTAAGTTTTGCCCAATCCCAGATATAAGTCTGGTCACTAGGCCGGATAATATCAGAAGGACCCCGAGGCTATACTAATAAAAGTACATTTCCACGTATATGGCAACTAAGAAATAGACATGGAGAATTACGATTTTAGTAAAAGGGAAGCAAAACAATTGTGCCTGTCTTTCACGCGACGTTTCTTCTTTTATACTTTTCTAAAGATTGGCACCATTAAACGTACGAATCAAGGCAATTCTGCGCACAGTTCTGCTGATTCCGGTTGTGAACAATATCGCCAAGCGTGACGAACCACTGCCACTCCTTTGGTCTGTTCCCTGTAGGTCCGACAACATAATTGACGTCAGCGATTTCATGTGCTGTCGTCAAGTGGCATGTCGACTACGCCGCGGTCGCCTCCAGCCCAATCCTGGACTAGCGAAAAGGGCGCGGCGCGATAAACGCTCGTGTGCAATACGTAGAACATGATCAGGTCACGTCCACTGGCAAAGTAAAAGCAGCATGTTGAGGGGAATACTCGCAATTCCCAGGGTGCGACCTCTAATTTCATCATCGCGAACTCACTTTTGCTAATGCACACGAGTGATCCTTCTCAAGAATTTGTCGAGAGCGGAAAACCGGTACATGTCCTCAACTCGGATTGACCAGGACTCACCACCAGACAACAACATTGAGCGAACGAGGCATTGCAAACTAAGAGAGAAAAGTCCCGGTGACACCACAAGTGCCTCTTCACTGAAGAGACAATACGAGATGTTGAAATCTGCCAGTGTTCGTCTTCTTGCTGCTTTATCCAAACATTTTAGTCAACAGACTCATAGTTCCCGTTTTTCGTTGTCACCTGCAAGCTCCCGGCTGACTACTTGCTAGAACAAGTAAAGGGCTTACATTTTATCCGCTTTATACCACTACGTAGTAGCGACTGACGTAGAGACCTCATTTCCATTTACATGTGCCCCTGCGCATCATTGCGGTGTACACGTGCCACAGCTTGGTTAGGTCGACAATGTGCACCCGTTGTATGCCCACATTGTGCGGGCGTAGGACGCTCTTGATGATGTGGTGTAGAAGTAAACGATTAGGTTAATTTACATTGTGAGATATATTGACATCCTAGAGACAGACGTCTACAGGCGTGTCCAGAAAGTTCGTTCAATGTTCACGATTTACCAGCTGACAAGGTGCGGTCAATCTCAAGAAGTGGCTAAAGTGTAGCGATGTGGTTGCAGATGTTGATACGGTTAGTATAACCACACATGAGCTGATGAAATGCAACCAATGCATCAGAATGCGCTGCAGAGCTCTGAAGCGATGTTATGTGCATCTGGTTACCAAGTATATAAGGAGATATGTTCATAAGCTACCAACTTAGAAGGGAGTTTAAAATGTTCTGGAATATCGGTAAATCGTGTTAGCCAATCAGTTAGTGATTTGTTCGCTGAGCTTGGCAATTGGGTTGCAGATGTTTCATCACCAACCGTGGTGACAACATCAGCACAGAGTTGGCTGTAGCTTAATCGCGAAAAATCGTACCAAGTAAATGCAGGAATGGATACCACCACCTCGATTCGTATCGAAAAGCCTGCACCCAAATTGCCAAGCTTGGCGAATAAATAAACAAGTGGAAGGTATTTGTTCGCATTACCGTGTAGTTGTGGTGGAACTCATCGCCGATGAGCGCAATTCATGTCATACGTACATGTGTGGTGTGTGCAGATGTGTGAGAACTACACAACGTTACTGAAATGTTGGAAGCTAATCGTGCCCGAATCGTAGCTTCTGCCGCACTGAGAAAATGCGACGAAGCAATTGACAAATTGGTCCCTTCTTACTGAGACAATGGGTACATCCGATTGGCTACTGAGCTGAAGAGGTGACCAACAGTGTCTTATGCTGCTGCGCAGGCAGAGGTCACTAAATTCATCGGAAGAAAATTTTGTGTTATTGCCGAGACCCAATTGCACGTTGAGCCCAACTACTGGAAGAGCTGATGCTACTTTTGCAGTATCACAGTTATCACAGCCGTGTTTAAGACGTGAGCTTCGGGTGACTTGGTGTCGTATCAGCCGCACTTAGAAGACTAATATGGCACCCTGCTGAAATAACCAAGACGACCTACAGGCCGGCCTTCAAGGGCTTACAACAGTTAAGGGGTTGGGTACCAAGTGAACTCGATAGATAGAGAGACCAAATTATGACTTAGGTGCCAGTAAAAGTAACAACTGACTAGTGCTTAAATGTGTGACATTTCTGGGTAGCATAGATGCAATCACTTAGACTAAGGTGTTAGAAGAGTTCTAGTGGAAAAACCATTTACCTTAACATACCACACTTAGCCGCTATTGCTAATGAATCACGTCACTGATGGAACGGACAAATACGTTTGCCGTTTATCTGGTCTCGCCATTTCGTGTGTGCGAAAAAGACCGAGTTTGATGGGCATCTTGGTGACGCATGGGTGTACCAGAAGTGTTCGAACTGAACCACATGAAACAAACATAGGTGATAAGCGGACTATGCTTTGCCGAGGGACAGTCCAACTAACGCAAACGAATAACACCTTACTCCTACGGTAACATGCATACGATACCAGCGATTCACAGAAAATAGTCCTGCTCAGGGAGGTGATGAAGAAAGCATTCATGCGACCGCAGCGTCATACATCAGACCCGCCCAATGATAGACGCAGGTTAGTAAGAAAGTTGCTTGAAAGAAATTGCAAACAAGCGTAATTAAACGGAGAACAAGCATTTTATCGCAGCAAATAAGCATTTCTCGCGCAATTATCACCTAATAAAAATGCCGGTGATTTGTAATAGGCTGCTCAGGTGGCAATGTTGGTTTGGAAGGAGCTTGGTGCCTTCTGGTTACTTGTGAGAAGTCAGTGCTTTTCTACTCGAAAAGGGGGTTGTCCCAGCGCCAGGCGGATATATCAGATTAAGCTTCCCAATAGCTGTAAAAGTGTATGATTTCGACATAAGGACGGAAAATACCACACAAATATTATCACCATATTAGGCCCCACTATGCCTCCATCCCAAAAAAGCATAACTAAAACTAGCCAAACCATTTTGCAATGCCCATTATTTCTGCATTCGAGCACAGAGGAAATCAAGTAGGAGAGGAACCCGTGTCTCTTTTGGTACTCTCTTACATCAGAAGTTTGCCGATACTTATAAGAATACTGTAAGCCAAGTCCAACAACGCAAACAAAACGAAGACGAGAGTAAACGAGGAGTTTGGAAACATACCAGAACACCTTGAACAAAGCGGGTGTGTCGATAGACTCAACTCCCAAGCGTCGTTTGCCCCAAGCGTACTTGAGTAATTCGACCCGTTTTCGGAGTATGAGAAATTTTTTGAGCAAAGTGTACGCTTCCACGGGAGTGTCTAATGTGCTCAGTTTATGTTTCTCATCTAGAGTGGAGCAACGAAAATGGAACGACATGACGGGGAAGCCAGCATGACTCAAAAGAGCACGAGTAAGAAAGGTGAAGTTAATGTGTTTATGAGAAATGCATATCTCACCAGCTCCTCAAACGAAGGTTTAGCAGCCAAAGGTATACGAGAAGTAAATCATGCATAGAAATAAATTTCTTGTTTCAGATATTCACGTTGCGAAACCTGTAACGCGCTGACTAAAGGTGTGCAAGCCTTCTTCGCAAAGAGAAGTGTGTAGAACGTATATGTTCAAGACTGACACATATAGTGTTTGCATAGACCTCAAAATCAAAACATAAGACGCTAGAATGAGTTACAATCAAGATCCAAGACCAAATATATATCCTATAAGTGATGAAATATTGACCGCCACTTTCTTCTGCTAATGAGCATATGTGATTCCTACAACATGAGACTTGCGTGCGAGAACACCTACTTTCATACATCAAGCACGTGCACAGCCGTGGTTCATGTAGAAAAGGTTCACTCAGGTGTTGAGTCAACACTGGCATGGACGGATCGCAGTTGACCCGTGGGAGCGTGTGAAGGCTACAGTGGTGATCTGACCGACGGTTGGTCATAGTGTGCTAGAGTCAAGTGGCTGAGTGACGATCCGTTGGTTCTGTCTACAAATGTTTGATTGTTACATACTGGTATAAGCATGATGACAAATTGTCGAAAACATATGTTCGCTTGCAAAGAGAAAAAAGAGTTTTCTCCCTGAACGAATGAGCGTGCTAAGCACGCATTTCTACAGTCTGGATTTTTCGCTGTTTCTCAGGGGCATTTCGTAGTACACTACTGGACCTATACCTATTCGTTTTGTTTTTACAAGCTCTGCCTCGGGATATCATTTTCTCTAGTACACTACCGTGCATCCTACATTTACTTGGATTTATAAACACCGGACAATGTTTCAACTATATCTACGTTCAAAAGTCGTACATTTTCAAAGGTTGAGCGTCCAGTTTGGACTCATTTGATAGAGCAATGCAACAGCTTTCGGGGAAGCTCTTGCTTCTTCCAGTCCAATACTGTGTGGATCAGCTACAGAGCACTCTTCGTTACACCCACAGCAAACCCTAAACAGCATCTAGGCAACGTCACCTTGCAATCAATAGACCAAGCCACGTAGACCCGTTAGCCACATTACTGTGGGACTGCATTACTAACGCAGTCGCAATCTGCCGACACGAAAACGAAGGCCTAGAGGCATCGCTCCAGCATCAACATGTGACCTTGGTTTCCACGCTCGCACGTGAATGGACGTGTTTACACCATCAGAACAGTAATAAATCGTGTGCAGCGTCGTCACCAACTTGACCGATAGCGTTTGGATTCAGCCTGCTTGTGGAACTGGTCCCACCTGGCGGGAAATGCGGTGCACGGAAATGCACCCCCTTGGTCAGGTCTGGTCTAATCTGCTCAAACCGCCGCTTCGCAGTTCGCGCTAAGTGTGGTGGCGCAAGTTAGGTAGTAGTAATGAGGCTCAAAAAAGTAACCAGAATGCCAGAATGCCAGAGGTTAATCAGCTTGATCTACGATACGAACATGATTGCCCAAGGCCACAGTCCATGTCCCGTGGATGTGTTGGCGGTATCAAGCCAGCGCGCGAGTACACCGACGGTCCAAAACTCCTGGAAGTCAAACGGATAACCACGCGCATGCTGGCAATATGGCGAATGGCACTTCGTCAAATTCTGCCCGTTCAAGAAGCATCTTTGTCAAAAATGCAACAAACGGGGGCACAATGAGGATCATTGTTGTGCAGCGATTTTCAACAAGACCGCTTACACGAAAATTGCCAAGACGTTTGTACTCACATCGTTAACAAAACATAGACCTCAACTGTATCCTGTCTTTGCTACATTCGATACTGGGACCGCAAAACGCAGGTTCGTAACAGTGGTTGTGAACCAAGTGCCCGTACACCTCCAAGTTGACACTGCGCAAGACATCACGCTCATTTCCGAGACAACTTGTAAGAAAGTCGGTGAGTCACCTGTTCAAAGAACAACTCGGATTGCAACCAACACTTAAGGAGGACCGCTGGACTTAACCGATGAAATCTATTGTCCTGTACTGTTCAAAGATTGTCAGTTCATAGGGGTATGCTACATAAGAAGACATCCCGATCTAAACTTACTCGGTCTCGATTGGATTGAGAATATGAAACTGTTTGAGGTTCCCTTGAATTCCGTGTGCGACAAAGCAAGTGGCGCATCTGCAGAGTGGACAGAGTCTTTACAAGGGAAATATCCGCAGGTGTTTCAGGATGAGCTGGGATTGTGCGTGAAAACCAAGGCATGTTTATCCCTACGGCCAGACCGAAAGCCAGATTTCCGACTGAAGAGATCAGTTCCATATGCAGTGGTTTCAATCGTCGACCAAGAACTTGACAGACTACAGTCAACCGGAGTTATCAAACCGACGAATTTCTCTTCATGGACAGCCCCCATTGTGATTGTCAAGAAACCAAACGGAAAGATAAGCTTATGTGCAGATTACCCTACTGGCCTGATTTCCACCTTAAAAGGCCACAGATACCCCCTACCCCTCCCTGAGGACCTTTTTGCACGCCTGAACGGCGGCAAGTATTTTTTCAAACTGGATCTGTCAGAAGCATATCTTAGGGTTGAAATCGCAGAAGAATCGCATGAGTTGCCAACGATTAACACGCACAGAGGATTATCCCAGTATACATGCGTAAATTTCAAGTTCAAGTGGGACCGGGACTGTAGGAAAATCCCGCGAATGTTCCACAACAGGGAAACCGGTGTCTTGATGTGCCAAAGGAGAGCCAAATCAACACACACGACACACATGATCAACCAGACAATGCCCATGTACCCTGCACTAGCAGTCCCCGCTGTGCCGGCCAAGTGAAGAATAAAAGAATACAGTAGTGTCAGTAAAGAAAAGGAAACAGAGAAGACAAGCTTATCGAATATCGTAGGCAATATTAAGATGTAAGTTAAAATGAGTTAAAGAAGCGTTGGCCGTAGTAGACGAAGGAAAATTTAAGACATAAAGGGGAAGAGTTTAAACTGCAGACCGAGAGTGTCAAGTCGATGCTCGAACTCTTTCCCCGTCGGTGCCATCACGACGTCTGCAGGCAATGCGTTCCAATAAGCTATGACCCTAAGCGATAACCGAAAAGCTGCCCAAACCCGGTCAGACCGGGGTTTGTGAAACTTTAATGAGTGGCCACGAAGGGTTGACACTCGAGTTGGGCGAAACAGTCCAGTCAAATCAAAACCAATTTGACCCATCAATATACGATATGTGAGGACAAAGTCGCTCCGAAGCCACCTGTAATACATGGAAAACAAATCCAACTTACGTAGCCTCTCCGGGTACGTCAGCTTCTTTAATCCGTGCACCATTTTCGTCTCGGACCGCAGGACTCATTCAACTGCCATCTTATCACGAAACAGGCATGGAGGACAAGCCTGGACGCAGTATTCCAAGTGCGGCCTAACAAAAGCAGAAAATAGTCTAACGAACATGACGGTGGTCATGATCCCGAATGACCTGCGAATCAGCCACAACATGTTGCAACCTTTGCGAGCAGCTGCCCAGTGTTCACTGGACTTAAAGTCGGATGATAGCAAAACACCGAGGTCAGATTGGAGTTGAACTCGCGGTACCTCGTTGTCGCCAAGCAAATAACGCGTCGGCCGGTCATTCGGACCAACGCGTAAAACGGAATATTTCGCTAAATTAACGGGCAACTGCCACAAAATTGACCAGTCCCAAAGTCTATCCAGAGCCCCCTGTAGGGTCAGTCTATCGTGAACCAGACTTTCAAGTCATCCGCAAACATTAGGGATGACACACCCAATTCATCAGGTAGGTCATTAACGTATAAAGTGAAGAGAAGGGGGCCAAGAACCGAACCTTGCGGAACGCCACTGAGAACACATTGGCGGAAGGACAGGCTTGAACCCACCCGCACACACATTTCCCTTCCGATTAGGAAAGCTGAAATCCATCGTAAGACGGGTCCAGAAATACCGTAGGAATTCAGCTTGTACAAAAGACGCGAATGTGGAACGGTGTCAAAGGCTTCGGCCCAGTGTTCACGAGCGGTTAACAAGTTAGTAAGGCAAGAATAGCCCTTACGAAAGCCGTGCTGAGAAGGATTAAGCAACTCAAACGCTTTCAAGTGTCCTTCGACAACGTCCCTCACGAGCTTTTCCAATAACTTGACCAGCACGTTCGTTAAACTGACCGGTCTATAGTTATCAGGGAGGTGCTTATCACCTTTCTTAAAAATGGGACAAACAATAGCCTCCTTCCAGTCCTTGGGTAGAGAGCAACCAGGTAGAGGCTTCACAAAAAGTTGCGTAATCGGACGGCAAAATTTATCAGCTAACTCGTACAACAGTTTGGGATGAATAGCATCCCCACCGGCAGCTTTATTGGGATTTAATTGCTTCAGAAGCCGGAGCACTTGAGCCTCCGTTATAGAAACCTCCTCCAAGTGGAAGCCCTCAGGAACTTTTGCCTGGAGACTGATATGCGGCGGCTGTGACTCTCTAACCTAAACCCCAGCATATTGTTCTCCGAGCAAACAAGCTTTTTCGTGATCCGTGACAACAGCAGTGCCGTCAGGGCCAAACAACACTGGGATGCACGAGTTCATGTTACTTCGACTTTTGACATAAGCGAAGGAGCGGTTCGGGTTTGATGAGGCTATACGAGCAAGCTCTACTTCATGCTGTAGACGAGCACCTCGTAGATACTGCCTGCAGGCATTTCGAACCTCACGATATCGCTTGAAAGTGCATAATGAAGGAGCAGATAAGTAAGTACGCCAACATCTCGCTTGTCCGTTAAGTTGTTTGCGTAAAGCAGAATCAAACCAGGGTGGCTTTGCCCTAGTTTTATTCCTGCCAGATAGTGGTATATGGGGGAGAGAGAGCTCACTCAAGTATGATTTGAATCTGTCCCAGGCCATTTGAATGTCGTCA